ACTGAGGGCAAGCTGAGCCCTGCCAGACACACGGACAGCCCGGAGCTGGTGTGGCACTGAGGGCAAGCTGAGCCCTGCCAGACACACGGACAGCCTGGAGCTGGTGTGGCTCCCAAGGCAAGCTGAGCCCTGCCAGACACACGGACAGCCCGGAGCTGGTGTGGCTCCCAAGGCAAGCTGAGCCCTGCCGGGACACACGGACAGCCCGGAGCTGGTGTGGCACTGAGGGCAAGCTGAGCTCTGCCAGGACACACGGACAGCCCGGAGCTGGTGTGGCACTGAGGGCAAGCTGAGCTCTGCCAGGACACATAGACAGCCTGGAGCTGGTGTGGCACCAAGGGCAAACCCTAAACACAAGCACGTACCCCCATGTACCCCCAAGAGCTGCAGCCTCGCCATCCTCTGAAGCTTGGCTTGTCAGGGATGGTTGTGCCAGTTCTCTGCCTCACACCCTTATCTGTGTATTTCTGTTACTCTAAGCGGAGGATTTGTGCCTGTTCTTTGCCTCACACCCTTATCTGTGTATTTCTGTTACTCTAAGCGGAGAATCTGGTGCTGGTAAGACTGTAAACACCAAGCGGGTCATTCAGTACTTTGCCATTGTCGCAGCCTTGGGCGACACGCCGGGCAAGAAATTAGTAAGATCTTCTTTTCAAACAAGTTCTTGTTGTTTTCTTCCTTTCTTTCTTTTTTTTTGTTTTTTAATTTTTTCCCCACCTTCCCCCTTCTTCTTATTTTTTCTTCCCCAACTTTTTGCGTTTTGTTCTGACCCCCCCAGGGCTTGGCTTTTCCCTGACTTTTGAACAAGCAAGGCTTGAAATTATTCTACTCAAGGGGAAATGGATTTTTTTTTTTTTTTTTAATGTGGCTGCTCAATCTGTGCAGCCTGGAAGAGGTGCTTCAGTTGCTCTCTTTCTCTTCTCTTCCTCTTTCAACACCCCAGTGATCCTCTTAAGAAACACTAAAGCGATGAAGTAAACCTTCCATTTCCCACCTTGCCTCTTTTAAGCCTTGCTTTTCAGCATTTTCTCCTTTTTTTCCCCCTCCTTTTGTTGATTTTGACCCTTTTCTACCTTGTGCTTTTCTTGCTCTTGTTTTGAATCTGGCTTTTCTTTGGTGCTGGTTATTTTTGAGCTGCCCTTGCAATTGCTTATTTCTTCTGGATACTTTGAGGCTCCAGCTGCTTTCCCCTCGAGGAAGCAAACTGGCTGCTTTAGGTATCAGACAAGCAATACTTCAGCATTATTTTCTTTCCTCTTCTTCAAGTTTGAATTTAACTGTTCTTGCTTTTTCATGCATTTCTTTATTTTCTTGAGCTAATCTATTTAACAACTTTTTGGCCTGTCCTATAAAGTTTAATCCTCCGAGTTTTTTTTTTCTCTTGGACTTTTTTTTTGGCACTAAATGGTCATGCCCTGCTTTTCTGACCATGCTTCTTGTGGTTCTTGCCTGGCTTTTCTGGATTTCTAAAGATCATTTTCTCTCCTTTCTCTAGGCAGCTCTTGCCACTAAAACTGGGGTAAGTGTTGTGGGCTCTGTAATGCTGAGGACAGAGTTCTGCTGCACCACAGATCTGTGATGGGGTGATGTGTGGGGCCTCCTCCTCAGGTCTGGGAGCAGCACCTGGGCAGTGTTTAGTTCTCCTCTTGGCCTTGTATCTGCCTCCTTCCCACAGCTGGAAGCTTTGCTGTTTCATCTATTTCTGCCTTTCTGACTCCAGCCTCTCCTTCAAGGGATAATTGCTCTGGGTAGAAACATTAATTTCTATTCAGAGTTGATGTCCTTGCCTGGGGAACATTTCTGAGGTGTTTCCTCCAAGGAAGCCCAGCAAAGGTTCATCCCCTGTGGCTCCCAACGCCCCAAGGGCTCAGTCACACATCCTTGGTTTCTCTGAGCCTTTAGCTGGTGCACACCCTTGCCTGGGGATGTTCATCATCACAAGAGTGTCCACTGGGACAAACAGGGTGAGACAGCTCAGGGGCTGGACCTGTGGGTCTTGGGGCTGCCCAGGTCAGGCTGAATTTAGAGATAAGAGCTCAAGGTTTACTCAGGTGATAGTGTGTTGGTGACTGTGTGATGCACAGCTGCTCCCTGTCTCCTTTGCCCTTCACACATCTGAGCTGCAGAGGTGGGGAGCACATGTGGTTCCAGCATTGGAAAGAGAGGGTGGCTCTGGGTGGGCAGAGCCCAGAGCTGGTGTTTCCCACTTTGAGGAAAGCCCTGTGTAATGTGTCAGAGAATGAGTAAAGCTCCCATGAAAAGTCCTGCAGGTGTTTGTGGCAGCAAACTCTGTAGCAGGTGTCAAACCCAACCATCCTCCATGTGGTGTAGCAGTCTCTTGCTCCTCTCCTTGAATCCTTGTCCTGCTTTACCTGCATTAGGCAGAGGCTGTCTCTATCCTTGAACAGAGGAACACACATGGAAAAATGAGGTTAGGAGAGGATTCATCTTAGGGCTTGCTCAGGAGAGCCCCAGTATTCCAGCAGATCATGCCAGCTGGCACTTGTGGTGCATTCCCATCACAGTGGGATCCTGCAATGCATGTTGTTGGTGTAGGTACCTTGTTTCACAATGTGCTGTTGATGTGAGCTGCCCTAGACTTTGGTTTGGTGGAAGAGGAAATGCCTGACACCAGATAGCCTGAAATGATTCAGCCTGTTGTGACAACATGAGCTTGCTCTTGGTTTGCATAGTGTAGCTCCTAAGAAAGGGGGCAAGGACTGCTGTGTGCAGAGGGGACAGCAGCCTGGGGCTGGTGCCAGCTCTGTGGCCTCTCCTCACCAGTTTGGGTGAGGAAAAGGCACAGGGGGCACTGCTGCAAACCCCAGCTGTGCTGATAAATGGAGCTGCCTCAGGGGCAGCAGGTCTCAGGGACAGCTGAGGAGTGCAGCCCCTGGCACTGCTCTGTGCTCTTGGTGAAGATCCCCTCTGGCTGTGTGACACACCCTTTGGTTTTGTCCCTCAGGGCACCCTCGAGGATCAAATCATCGAGGCTAACCCAGCCATGGAGGCTTTTGGCAATGCCAAAACCATAAGGAACGACAACTCCTCGCGTTTTGTGAGTGCCTCACAGGCAGGGAGCTGGGGCTGCTGGGGTGGGCTGCATGCACAGGGGGTGGCACTGTGCCCTGGGAGCCACATGCACGTGGCAGGGAGATGGAGCTGCTTCCCAGTGGCACTGGACTGCCGGAGCCACGTTGTTCTGGTTTTTCAGTGCAGCAAATGGTGGCCAGCACAAACAGCCCTGGTGTCACAGCCTGTGACATCCCTGGCAGTTCCAAAGCTGAGAGGGACACTGAGCACAGCCTGGGGTGCTCTGGGACAGACAAGTGTGTCCCTTCCAGGAAGCAGCGCCGTTTTTGCTGAGCCCAGCCTGGCTCTGCTGTGCCTGCAGGGGAGGGAGGCACTGCTGGGGGAGACCCTGAGCCCAGCACGGAGCAGGGGCTGCAGGCAGCCTCTGTGTCACAGAATGCTCAGTGGTAAGAATAGACCTGAGGACAGGGGTTTAGCTGCTGTCAGTGAACTTTCTGCCTGCCTGGTATTTAAACCCTTGGGCAATGCTCTTTGAGCTTCTTCACATTACAAAGCAGAGAACTTCACCCCTTTACAGAGTTCAGTAAGTTGCCTGGCATCAGCAGAAGCTCAAGAAGTGGGAAATGAATTCAGTTTCTAGAGGCTGTTCAGAGCTGTAGCTCTGTAGACAAGCCCAGCATTTAACTCCTGTGGGTGTTTTCAGGGCAAGTTCATCCGGATCCACTTTGGTCCCTCAGGGAAATTGGCCTCTGCAGACATTGACATCTGTGAGTAGCTGCCCTGGGGAGAGAATTCATCCCACCACTTTTGCTCAGCTCTGGGAAGGGACAAGCCCTGCTCTGACCTCTCTGCTGTACTTCATTCTAGATCTTCTGGAAAAATCCAGAGTGATTTTCCAGCAACCCAAAGAGCGGAGCTACCACATCTTCTACCAGATCCTGTCTGGGAAGAAACCAGAGCTGCAAGGTAGGGCAGCCAAAGATGCAGCACAGCCCTTAGAGCAGGATGGCCTGAAAACTGCCCCAGAGAGCTCTGTTGTCACTTTGGGGTCCACAGGAATGAGCAGACCCAACTCACCATGCAGGTCCTGCCCTTGAATGCTTTGCTGGCTGTGCAACATCATGGGATTGGTGGAATTCAGGGTGGAAGGGATTTCAGGAGGCCATCTAGCCCAGCCTCCATGATCCTCACAGGCAGAGAATCCAGACTAAAGCCCTTTCTGCCACTGTGTAGGAGCAGAGGTCACCCAGGGTCTGTCTGCAAGGTGGGAATGTGCTTTGCAAAGCTGCCTTGCACAGAGTCCTCGTGGGCTGGTGGGTACAGCACTGACCTCAGCGTGTGCAGGCTGCACATTTACTCATTTTGAGATGGAAAGAAGTGTTTTGGAGCCTGCTCAGCAGGTGAGATGACCTGTTCCAGGTGAGCTGGGACACAGCTGCCCAGCTCTCTCTGGGCACTGCTGTAGATGTGATCCTCAGGACAGCTCCACTGATCTGAGTTTGTGCTGGGGCAGCTCTGAGCAGCCTCCTGGTGCCACATCCCACTCAGGAAGCCTTTCCCCATGCAGAAGGATGGCTGGCACAGCCCCTGGGGTGCTCAGCTCTTGGCTGAGGGCTCCTGAGCTTGGTGCTGAACAGCACCTTATTAGGCAGGTCTGAGGGAGCAGTAATCTTATCTGGAGTCACAAGGGCATGGTGGCCACTTCTAAATCAGTCTGCAGCCAGGCCATATCCCAAGATAGCAAGTAGGAGGCAAGCACAGAAGAGGTGGACCCACGTGTGGACCTGCCTGTGCTGGAAGAGGCTGTTCCTCCCCCAGCTGGTGAGGCTGGGGAAGCCTTCCTGCTCCATCTGAGTGCAGGGATGTCTCTGCCAGGCTGGCTCACCTTCTGCATGTCCTCCCCCTGCAGATATGCTGCTGCTGTCCCTCAACCCCTACGACTACCACTTCTGCTCCCAGGGGGTGACAACAGTGGACAACCTGGATGACGGCGAGGAGCTGATGGCCACAGATGTATGTGCACAGCCCTGGGGCTGGGGAGGGCACAGCCTTCCTCTGGGCAGCTCTGGGGGTGTGCCCTGCCTTCCCTCTTTCAATCAGTTGGGATTTCCCTCTGTGTGCCCCTCTTTGAATCAGTTGGGATTTCCCTGTGGGTCATTGGTGGTTGTTGGGAGCCTACAGGAAGGGGCAGAGTGACTCTGATCTGCACCAACAGCCTCATCCAGGCAGGGAAGGGAGAGTCAATCCCTGCATCAGGAAGGGCCTGAGGCACATTAGCATTTCCCATAGTGCCCATGAGAAGGAAGATTCCAGAATCATTAAATTTGGAAAAGACCCCCAAGATGGTTGAGTCCAAGCTGTGATTTATCCCCACCCTGACACCCAGCCCAGAGCACTGAGTGCCATGTCCAGCCCTTCCTTGGACACCTCCAGGCATGGGGACTCCAGCACTGCCCTGGGCAGCCCCTGCCAATGCCTGACAATTCCTTCTGTGAGGAAATTCCTCCTGATGTCCAACCTGAACCAGCTTGAGGCCATTCCCTCCCATCCTGTCCCTGTTCCCTGGAGCAGAGCCTGACTCCCCTGGCTGCCCCCTTCTGTCAGGGAGCTGTAGAGATCAGTCAGATCTCCTCCTGAGCCCTTAGCTTGGAGAACCTCCTCCTTGTGGATGCTAAGCCAGTCCTTTGGCTTTCAAATGGGTCTTGTGGGAGCTGGAGCCACATTCAAACCCCATGGACAGGATTCCTTGGTTAGAGCTACATTCAAGCCCCATGGGCAGGATTCCTTGGTTGAGTGCCCACCAGAGAGGGCATCCTGCCCAGCCCCAGGACAGGGAGAGTACCTTAGGAGACAGTGGGAGAAGAACCAACCCTCACCTCAGCGTGGTGAATTTGTTCTGTCTCTACTGTCTTGTGTGTCTCCTCAGCACGCCATGGACATCCTGGGCTTCAGCAGCGATGAGAAATACGGCTCCTATAAAATAGTGGGGGCCATCATGCACTTTGGGAACATGAAATTCAAGCAAAAGCAGCGGGAGGAGCAGGCAGAGGCTGATGGCACTGAAAGTGAGTGGGGCTCTGGGCTCCAGTGCAGGAGCAGTGGGGGTTAGGATGGTCAGGACAGACGGACACAAGAGATCTCTGCAGCCAGGGCTGGAACTTGGGGTTTATTGCAAAGGGCCTGGGGGCAGGGCCCTGCTGGGAGCTGCCAGACACAGCTCAGAGCAGAAAAGAGAAGTAAAGAGAGTGGGAAAGAAAGAGAATGCAAGAGTGTGGTAAAGAGGATGAGAGAGAGCAAAAGAGTAAAAGAGAGAGTGAGAGAGCAAGGTTCCCGTTCCAATACAATAAAACTGTGTTGAATATTCTAATTCTCACTAACCAATCTAGTACAATACACAAATTCTTCAGCATTTACATACAGCCTATAAGAATCATTACATTATCACACTGTGTTACATTTTAAACCCTAAAAACTCCTCTTTGAGCCCCTTCTGCCAAGCTGTAGAGTCTGCTCTGACCCTTGGGCCTGTCTGCAAGCAGAGGGTGTTGTTCCATCAAAAGGGTTTTACCTTCAGCTGGCCATGCCATTGTTTTCCTGTTGTTCAGTAGCTGAGGGATCTCAAAGCTTGCTTTCATTTCAATCTCACTTATAGTTTCCATATTCTCAAAATCTTTTGCCAGACAATCATATTGATAAGGCTTTCCTGTTTCATCTTCCCCTGCACTCCAGAGCTGCCCAGGCTGGGATAACTCCCCCTGCCTGGGCTGTGGAGGTCAGGGACCCTGATCACTCACTGACTTAGGCCCTGCTGGGTGCACCAAGGGCTCGGCCTTGAGCAGGAGTATTTGGGACAGTCTCTCTCAAGGTGGTCTCAGCAGCATCAGACTTGTCTCAGCAGCATCACAGGGTGTCACAGACCTGGTGGGCTTCATCTTGTGCAGTGTCCTCCTGCTCATCACCTCCTGACCTTCACTGGACAGCATTCCAGCCAGGCTGGGAGCAGGACCTGCCCAGCTCAGAGCCTCCTGAAGAGCTGCTAGAGTAGGACACAATCACTGTCCAACACTTTTCCTGGTTTGCTGCTCAGCAAAATCCAATGCAATTCACAGATCTAAGAACAGTCAGGATGCAGAGCAAACCTGGTGAGAGAGGGTGAATTTCCAGCATGTAGGAGGGTGAGAAGGAGGAGCTCTAGCACATACTTGAAAGGTTTCAGCAGGGATCCAGCAGAAATTATTACCTAGATCAGTCTTTGTCACATTAACATTCATGAAAGAAAAGTTTTCTGTGCCTCAGGAGTGGCAACACAGCCTTTAGCTGCTACCTGGTAATTAATGAATATTTTGATATGGCAGTGATTTCCCTGCAGAGGTGATTTGCTAGCTACAGTCTGCTATCAGGAGTTTATGAAAGACAATCACCTCTCTTCTGGCCAGTTCAAATTCCCTGCATGGAAATTCAAACCTCCACTGGAAAATGCATAGAGAATCCCAGACCAATAAGGCTGAAACCTGATAAGCACCTGACAAGGTGCAGCAGGCCTCCAAAAAGTAACTTCTCAGTCAGGAGGTTCAAACTTTAAAACATCCTAGACTATCCAAGATGGAAAATCACAACAGGAGATAAAACAGTGTGGTTAGCACTGATGATCATGAGGGCAGGTCATTTTTTATTTTGGTTCCTTTTTCCTTACGCAGACCCTCCCTGAGGGCTCTTTATGCCTTTGTGCTGCCTTGCAGGTGCTGACAAAGCTGCCTATCTCATGGGAATCAGCTCAGCTGAACTCATCAAGGGGCTGCTCCATCCTCGTGTCAAAGTGGGCAATGAGTACGTGACCAAAGGGCAGAACGTGGAGCAGGTGAGTGACAGGACAGCAGGACACTGGGCTGCCACTGCTGCTTCAGTTCAATGTCTTGGGTGTAGGAGGAGAAGATGTATCCACAGTTCTTGGCTTTTAGGAGCAGGGGAAATGGGTGGCAGAGCTGGCTGATAGCTTTGCACATTAACCAAGGCTGCAGATTCAATGTGGTGTCTTTGAAATGTGGGTTGGATCCCAGCCAGAGCAGTTCCAAGTTCTGTGGATCTGTTCCAGAGACAGTCACACTCCTGTGAAGAGTTCAGCCCTGAAAATTAGAAAACTCTGGATATCTAAACACTCATCTGAGTTGATCTTGTAGAAGACTCAAATGGGTCAAACATCTGTCTTGTCAGATTCCAGCTACACCCTAGCTGGGAACCTAGACCTGGCCTGAATAGTGCAAGCCAGTCCTTGAGCACAGCTCAGAAGGACCTCAGGAGCTGGTGTCCTATCCAAAGTGGGCTGTAGGCTCTGGCCAAGCACAAGGCTTCTGAAAATGTCACTTTAAACTGAATTTATATCCTAAAACCCTGGAGGCAAGATAGGCCAGGTAGGCAGGAACACACCTATGAGGCATGCAAAGCTAATTTTGGAGCTTGTGCTGTGACCACAAACTCCTTGGATGTGTCTGTCCATCTTTGTGTGCCAGGAGGAGCTCTCTGTCAGCCTGTGGCTCCTGCAGGAGCAGGGAGAAGCTCACTTGTGGTGGTTTGCACAGGGGTCCCAGGAAGAGGGAAGAGATGAGAATGTTGACTCCATGTTTCAGAAGGCTGGTTTATTATTTTATGATATATATTATATTTAAACTATACTAAAAGAATAGAAGAAGGGATTTTATCAGAAGGCTAGTAAGGAAAGGAATGATAATAAAATTTTGTGACTGACCAGAGAGTCAGACACAGCTGAAGTGTGATTGGCCATTAATTAAAAACAACCACATGAGACCAATCACAGATGCACCTGTTGCATTCCTCAGCAGCAGATAATCACTGTTTACATTTAAGGAAAGGATTTTTCATCAACCATGTGTGTGACACTCCCTGTGTGCTCTGGGCTTTGCCTTGCAGGTGCTGTATGCTGTGGGGGCCCTGGCCAAAGCCACCTACGACCGCATGTTCAAGTGGCTGGTGACACGCATCAACAAGACCCTGGACACCAAGCTGGCCAGGCAGTTCTTCATTGGGGTGCTGGACATTGCAGGCTTTGAGATCTTTGATGTGAGTTCTGCAGGCCCCTGCAGTGGGTTCAGGGAGTGTTGTAAGGGCAGCTCAGTCCCCTGGGGTTTGAGCTCCTCTAAGAAGGTGCTGGCCTTGATGAGAATAGGGGCTCTTGTTTGGGTTGATGTATCTGGAACAAGCAGGAATGATTTAACATTGCTGTGGGCACATCTCTGGCTACCTGCTGTGGCAGCCACACCGCTGAGCCTGGCAGGGATCACCTTTCACAGCCAGGCAAAGCACAGGAGTGAATCCCTTCCTGCTGCTGTAGGACACGAAATAACACAATGTGCACACACAGCTCTCCCAAGGTGAAAAGAGCACTTTTAATTTCTGACTGCAACATTTATAGAATTCCAAAAGTGACAGTGGATTGGAGGGTGACAGTGCCACCTCCCCAATGACACTGGACAAACCAACAGTCCATCAAATTTCTCTTCCTCCTCCATAAAAAATGCAAAACAATAAGTTATTTACATAAAGTGTGTGAGATGTTCGTTACAAGAATGTAAACATCAGAAGGCTTAGAAAACCTTAAAAAATCAGGGTGACACCTTCTCTTCTGGAACTCCTCCTTCTGACTCACATCTGCTTTGTTCTTGCAGTTCAACAGCTTTGAGCAGCTGTGCATCAACTTCACCAATGAGAAACTGCAACAGTTCTTCAACCACCACATGTTTGTCCTGGAGCAGGAGGAATACAAGAAGGAAGGCATTGAATGGGTCTTCATTGACTTTGGCCTGGACCTGCAGGCCTGCATTGACCTGATTGAGAAGGTGGGGTGTGAGGCAGGGCACAGAAATGGTACTGCTGAGGGGTTTTGTTTGCAAAGGCTGCAAGAGAGAGGTGCTCTGCTACCAAAATTTAATTATTCTCTCCCTGGTCAGTGGCAAATGCCCAGCATTTTTTTTCCCAATACTTACAGCTTGGAGCCTCCAGCCCCTTGAGACCTTTTCCACACAAATTTTGACTTTAAGAAAACATGGAAATTCTGTTTCTACCCCCTGGGGTAGAAACAAAACCTGGTGCCTTTTCCTCCAGAGAGCAATTATCTCTTCCCCTTTTTTTCCCACCCACTTGCAGCCCATCAGTGCCTCTTGAGCATTCACTGATTCAGAGCAGGTTGTAGAAAATATTTCCACCATTACATGAGGGAAACTCATTTTTTTCTTTTGGAAAGGAGCAATCCTGGAGAGGATCCCTCCTTCTCAACAATCTGTTGGACTAGGGCAAACTGCCATGTCTTGCAGGCCTGGCCAGTCCCACGTGGAGGTCAGGAATGTGCCAGTGACACCTTGACCCCATGGCCAGTGTCTTGCACCTGGACTAGGATGGGATCTCCCGAGCATCCCTGTTTTGGGATGGGACATGGCAACACCGAGCTCAGTCCTCTTTATCCCCCCTCTCCCTGCAGCCCATGGGAATCCTGTCCATCCTGGAAGAGGAGTGCATGTTCCCCAAAGCCTCTGACATGACCTTCAAGTCCAAGCTCTACGACAACCACATTGGGAAGTCGCCCAACTTCCAGAAGCCGCGGCCGGACAAGAAGCGCAAGTACGAGGCGCACTTTGAGGTGGTGCACTACGCTGGTGTGGTACGTCCTGGCAGCTCCTCCCAGCCCCCACAGCTCCCCCAGGCAGGGACAGGGCTGGCCTGACCTTCCCTGTCCTGGGACAGGTGCCATACAACATCGTGGGGTGGCTGGACAAGAACAAGGACCCCCTGAACGAGACGGTGGTGTCCGTCTTCCAGAAATCCCAGAACAAGCTCCTGGCCTCCCTCTATGAGAACTATGTGGGCTCTGCTTCAGGTGAGGAACCCTCTCACCCGGTTTTTACCNTGGGCTGTGATTGGCCATTAATTAGAAACAACTCTATGAGACCAATCACAGATGCACCTGTTGCATTCCACAGCAGCAGATAACCATTGTTTACATTTTGTTCCTGAGGCCTCTCAGCTTCTCAGGAGGAAAAATCCTAAGGAAAGGGTTTTTCATAAAAGATGTCTGTGACAGTCCTCCTTCTCCCATGGAGGGAAAAACTAGGTGTGCCTCAGGAGGGATTCCTCACTGGCATCCTTTGCCTTTAACTGGGTACACCTCTGCCCACGTCCTTGGTTGGGACAGCTGGAGGCCACAGGCTCTGGGAGAGTGTGGGCTAGTGCAGATTGCAGCCCTACAGCCCTGAAATAGCTGTTTTGGCTGTGTTTGAACCCAGGGGAGCTCACCCGGCTGCTGGAGGAGAAGGAGTCCTTCATCAACCAGCTGAGCCGTGGCAAGGTCTCCTTCACACAGAGCATTGAGGAACTCAAGAGGCAGCTGGAGGAAGAGACCAAGGTGAGGTTTCAGGGCATGGTTGGTCTCTGAGTGACACTGTGAGGGAGGTGGGTCATACCCTGCACGCAGGGCAGCTCTTCACCTGGGAAGAACAGAAGTTCCCTGCTGCTGCTGGCAGTCCAGGTGCCATGGGCAGTGTCCTGGAGCCCAGAGTCAGCTGCTGCTCTCTCTCCCTCAGGGCAAGAACGCCCTGGCCCACGCCCTGCAGGCCTCCCGGCACGACTGTGACCTGCTGCGGGAGCAGTACGAGGAGGAGGGCGAGGCCAAGGGCGAGCTCCAGAGGAACTTGTCCAAAGCCAACGCTGAGGTGGCCCAGTGGAGAACCAAGTACGAGACTGATGCCATCCAGAGGACTGAGGAGCTGGAGGAAGCCAAGTAAGTCCCATGGCACAAGTCAGCTCCTTGTAGGTGGCAATTTTCTGTTCAGCAGTGGGGCNGCAGGCAGATGTTTTGCTGATGTAAATAATCAATATTTTAACCCAACAGAGGAACCTCACAAACCAGGGACCAAGGAGAAACGTAAGAAGGCAGCTTCTTTCCAAACAGTGTCCCAGCTGCACAAGGTGAGAGCCAGCCCCTCATCCAGGGCCATGAGGGAAACCTGCTGAGGGTCCCACCAGCAGTCACACTTCCCTGCCAAGACTCTTGGTTTCTTGCATTTCCTGGGGCCTGAGGGACCACCAGAGCTCCTGAGGGATCACCACTAGACCAAAGCTCCCAACTCCCTCCATCCCTGGCCAAGGGGGCTGTGCCTGGCAGAGTCCCAGCCCTGTCCCCATGCTGCAGGGCAGGACAGGAGGCTCCAGGCTTGCAGAGCTCCCTTCCCTTGGAGCTGGGCTCGTGCTGCTCCTGCCCTCGTGATGCTTTTGGCAGCTCCTCCACCTCTGAGAGAGAGGCAGTTAAGACTTGTAGTGATGTTTAGATAATTAATTCCATGAACATCACTTTAAGTCTGTGCTACTTCTCTCCTCGTTCCTGTCAGCTGGAAGGACAGAAGACAATGGAGGAGGATCTTGCAGGTGTCTGAGCAGGCAGCTCCCTGTGCTGGGGGGTGACCTGGCCCATTTGACAGCTCAGGATGTCACATAGCTCCAGCCCATGCTCACCACTGGGGTTACTGATCCAGTCCAGAGCTCAACCAACTGGAAGGCAGCACAGAGGGATGTGTCCTACCATGGCAGCCTTGTGACAAGGCAAAGATCACAGCCCTGAGGCTGCCAGAGCTCCAGGAGCTTGGACAGCACTCCCAGGCATAGGGTGGGGTTGTTGGGGTGTCTGTGCAGGGCCAGAGCTGCCCTGGATGATCCCTGTGGGTTCCTTCCAACTCAGGGTGATTCTTTGCCAAGGTGCTTGCAGAAGGCAGCTCTGTTGCAGAGCTCCTGTTGAGGGAAAAGTGTGACTTTGTTCCTTCTGGACAAGTCACAGGCCTTGGGGAAAGGTGTCTGTGGTGAGGAGGTGCCCCATGGTGATGTGGAGCTGTGGGAAGGTGTTCTGTTCCCTGAGCTGGTCCTGGACAGGCTGAGCCTGGATAAGCAGGGGAAGGCAGCTGGAAAGATCAAGGGTGGAGTTGCCTTGGAGAGGAAAGGAGGAGCAGTCTGGCACAGACAAAGGGAGTGAAGCACTGTAGAGGTGCAGGGAAATCCTGCATATCCTGACATTCTCTGTCTGCAGCCAGTGTGGACACCAGCACAGGAACTGCAGGGTGCAGAGCACAGAGCTCTGTACCAGGAATTTGCTCAGTCCTGTGTCCCTGGCTCTTCCTGCAGCAAAACTTTACCTACAAACACTTGGGGAGCATCTGGCACTGCAAATTTCTGTAGCACATCAAAACCTGCCAGTGCCATCTGTCCTGTGTGCCAGCCCAGCCCCCTGGGCCATGGGGACAGTGTCCCACCCTGGCAGGAGCACTGACCCTGCCCCAGGTGGGCATGTCCCCTGCCAGGATAGCAGAGGAAATTCCCTTTCTGCTGCCATGAGGGGTTTTCAGGGCCTGCTCCCTCCTTGCCTGTGGGGGAAAGGAGCTGGAGAGAGAGAGGAGCATTGCAGGGAAGCAGGTCTGTCCCCTCACCACATGTGTGTGTGCCCTGCAGGAGAACCTCAACAAGCTGATGACCAACCTGCGCTCCACCCAGCCCCACTTCGTGCGCTGCATCATCCCCAACGAGACAAAGACCCCAGGTATGGGACAGCTCATGGGGCTGGGGACAGCCACACCTGGGAACTGCCACCCACCCTCTCCCCAGCCCTCTTCATGCTGCCACTGAGCCCTGACCCCATCTCAGTGCTGCAACTCCTGTGACCCAGGTCAATCTCCTGTGCTGAGGAGAATGAGCTTTGCCAGGCTCTCATGTTGGGTGTGCAGCCTGGCACTTGGCATGGATGCACACCCAAAGTGGGATGCACAGCAGGCAGGGATGGGTGTTCCAGGCTGAGTCCTGTGACTGTGTTCATAGGGGTCTTAGGATGAGGGAAGAGATGAGGATCTGACTCCATGTTTCAGAAGGCTGATTTATTATTTTATGATATATATTGTATTAAAACTATACTAAAAGAATAGAAGAAAAGATTTCATCAGAAGGCTAGCTAAGAATAGAAAAAGAAAGAATGATAACAAAGGTTTGTGTCTTGGACAGAAAGTCTGAGCCAGCTGGACTGTGATTGGCCATTAATTAGAAACAACCACATGAGACCAATCACAGATGCACCTGTTGCATTCCACAGCAGCAGATAACCATTGTTTACATTTTGTTCCTGAGTCCTCTCAGCTTCTCAGGAGGAAAAATCCTAAGGAAAGGATTTTTCATAAAAGATGTCTGTGACAGTGTTCCACATGCAAGGCCCAGGCTGCAGCACTGTGCTCAGCACACACCTGCAGGACAGGCTGACACCCATGTTCAAACCATGGGATGTTCCCAGGGTTCAGACCTGGGCTGCAGCTGCATTTCCTCTGTCTTCTTGGGCTGAGCCCGTGCTCTGTGTGTGTCCTGCCCCACAGGAGCCATGGATTCCTTCCTGGTGCTGCACCAGCTGCGCTGCAATGGGGTCCTGGAAGGGATCCGCATCTGCCGCAAGGGCTTCCCCAACAGGATCCTCTACGCTGAGTTCAAGCAGCGGTAATGCCCTCCTCTTCCTCACCCAGCACGTGGTTCCAGGGCAGACAGACATGTCCTGCTCTGAGCTGCTCCCCAGCTTGTGCAGAGGTGCTCTGAACCCCCAGTGCCTGCCCAGTTTGGGATTGCTCTGCTGCTGGCTCTGGGGTGCCAGCCATGGAGAGTTTGGGGTGGGGTCTGGGTGTTTGGGGTGCTGCTGCAGGGGAAAGGTGGCAAGGTTCATGTCACTCTTGTGCTGAGAATGACACAGCAACAGGCAGGAGGCAGTATTGTAGAAAGAACAAAGAAGGTTTTATTCAAGAGAACTGTGCAGCTTTTATAATGACACAGGAACAGGTGAGAGGCAGTACTGTGGAAAGAGCAAAGAAGGTTTTATTCAAAAAACCACACAGTTTTTATGATGACACAGGAACAGGCAGGAGGCAGTATTGTAAAAAGAGCAAAGAAGGTTTTATTCAAGAGAATTGCATGGTTTTTATAGAGTGAGACAATAGATTTTATTTGATTGGCTAACTAATAAAAACATCTTCCTCACACACTGTTTTTGAGAAGAACAGACAGACGAAGTAGAGAAACACCACCTGCAGGTTGTTTATACTTAACAAGTTATCACATCTTACAACTTCCTAAAAATTCTCACAAACTGCTGTGAGAAATACTTGCTGTTTCTCTGTCTCTGTCCCATGGCATCCACAGGCTCAGGCTTCTCTGATCCTGGCTCAGATTTCTCTCTGTCCTTGGGATAGATCCTCAGGGTTCTCACCTTAGGGTCCCATCCATGCTGCCTAATGAGGGCAGTGGCCTCCTGGCACAGTCTCCCTGATGTTCAGGGACTAAATTCTGCCAGGGTTCCCTGGTGCCTGCAATCCTGTGCCCTGGAGCAGCTGGTTCACACACAGCCCCATGGCCCCAGTGGGCACTGGCATGCCTGGGGCTCTGGGGTGATGCTGGTGCTGCATTCCCTCTTGCATGGCCTCCCTCTGCTTTCCCCACAGCTACCGTATCCTCAACCCAGCAGCCATTCCAGAGGACAAGTTTGTGGACAGCAGGAAGGCCACAGAGAAGCTGCTGAGCTCCCTGGAGCTGGACCACGCACAGTACAAGTTTGGTCACACCAAGGTGAGAGAGGGCAGCTGATCCTTGGCAGGGAGAAATTTCCCCTGCTGTTACTGTCTGTGCCCTGGCACTCTGCAGGGTCTGTGTGGCCCTTGAAGGGACTCAGCAGGGCAGAGGAAGAGAAAGCAGCTCTGAGCAGGTCACTGCTGCCTGACAGGAACCAGGTCTGGTTCCTATGCCATGTGTGGGAGCACCTGCATGTTTCCCTGGAAGGCTGAGTTACCCCTGAGCCCTCTGTCCTTCTGCTGGTGACTCCACTCTCTTGCCCCCAGGTGTTTTTCAAGGCTGGTTTGCTGGGCTTGCTGGAGGAGATGCGAGATGAACGTCTGGCCAAGGTGCTGACAATGCTCCAGGCCAGGATCCGTGGGTTCCTCATGCGTGTGGAGTATCAGAAGATCATCAGCAGGAGGTAGAGCTGTGGGGGCAAAGGCAGAACTTTGTGTCTCCTTGTCCTTTCTGCATGTATCCATGGGTTTGACCCGTGGGGTTTGCCTGTGTGGGGTTTGCAGTGATTGGTCCTGAGGGATGGAGGCAAACCTGGAACAGGTCTGGCATGGCCCTGGTAGGGAGGATCTAGGTGTGAGGAGCCTCTGGTTTGATTCAGAGGGAGGCAGAGTGAGGAGAGCTGAGATCCAGGCCACCCCACCTAGCCCAGCAGGGCCAGTACAGTGTGCAGAAAGTGTCCCATTCAGTCACCATTCTGCCATTTGTCCAGCTGGGGGAGAATGGAGCCTTATCCAGGCCTGCAGAAGCCAGGTGGGACATGGAGAATGTCCACCCCTGATGATGCTGTGCTTGTATTCCCCCAGGGAAGCCCTCTACACCATCCAGTGGAACATCCGTGCCTTCAATGCTGTCAAGAACTGGTCCTGGATGAAGCTGTTCTTCAAGATCAAGCCTTTACTCAAGTCTGCTCAGACTGAGAAGGAGATGTCCAACCTGAAGGAGGAATTCCAGAAGCTGAAGGAGGCTCTGGAGAAGTCTGAGGCAAAGAGGAAGGAACTGGAAGAGAAGCAAGTCTCCATGATCCAGGAGAAGCACGACCTGGCTCTGCAGCTGCAGGCAGTGAGTGCCTCACCCTCTCTCTGGGGGTGTTAAGACAGTGCAGGATCCATGGGTAGAAGAAGGAGCAGAATATCCTAGAACCCTTCTTCAGCCTTTTGCAGTCCTGAAGCTCCCTCATTGTCACAATCTGTCTGAAACACAACCTAAGACTGCAACACAACCTAACACTGCAGTCCTGAAGTACCATCGCATGCTGGGGCTGTCACAGGGATTTGTGATCCCCTGGCTCTAGGAAGGGTGCTCACCTCACAGGGTGGTGGGAGGGGATGGCAGTGTTTGCTTGCTGCATTTTGTGCTGGTTTTGGGTTTTTTTGTCCTTCCTCTGGAAAGACTGAGCTGCTCTTTGGCCCTGGTTAGTGCGAGTGGTTGAACTTTGATGATGAGCACTGACTGGAGCTGCATTTTTTGTACACCTGAGCACCTCAGGCTTGCTCTGCCCCTTCCACAAGGAACAGGCCAGGACAGCAGGGCTGAGAGCAGAGTGCTGGGGCAGAAGGTGAGCACTTCTCTCCTGTGCCTCTCCCAGGAGCAGGACAACCTGGCAGATGCAGAGGAACGCTGTGACCTGCTCATCAAGTCCAAGATCCAGCTGGAGGCCAAGGTGAAGGAGCTGCAGGAGCGTGTGGAGGATGAGGAGGAGATGAGCTCGGAGCTCACTGCCAAGAAACGCAAGCTGGAGGATGAGTGTGCAGAGCTGAAGAAGGACATTGATGACCTGGAGATCACGCTGGCCAAGGTGGAGAAGGAGAAACATGCCACAGAGAACAAGGTAACCAAGCTCCCTGCAGGGTCCAGCCTCAGTGCCTGTGGGGATGTTTTGGTTTGGAAAGCCAGGTGTTTGCTAAGGAAGGCAGGAGCCTCCCCTGAAATGGAGAATGTAAACCCCCTCCCTCCAAATTGCTATAAATTTTAAATTAAGGGGCTCTCAGGCAAAAATATGAGAGCAGGAAATAACAGTTCTTTAATAGGGAAGAAAAAAATAAAAGGATAAAATAAACACTGCAGTACACTAGAACAACACTGCCAGATTCAGAACCCAACCTGACACCCTGTGGGTCAGGCTGTTGGCAGCAGTCCCATTGGAATTGTGGCTCAGGCCTCCTGCAGTGTCAGGGCTGGTTCTGCTGGAGCAGGGATCCTGGAGAAAGGTGCAGTCTCTTCCTCTGAAGATGCAGTAGGAGAGGCAGCTGCTGTTCCTCTGGGAATTCCAGTGGAGAAGCTGTGCTGGTGTTCCAGAACCTCCAGATTATATCCAGGTAGGAATGCTTGGCTCCTCCCTCTGGGCTGACATCTCCCAATGGGATGCTGTAGTTCTTATCAGCCATGCAGGGACATTCAATAGCTGTTATCAGCAATGTCCCCTCCCGAGGGAGGTGTGATTGTGGTCACTCAGAGAGATAAGGCAAACTGCCCACTTGACAAAAGATAATCTGCCAAACAGATGGTGATAGAAAACATCTTGCATTGCAACCTGGAACAGTAACCAACCTCCCTGCAGGGTCCAGCCTGTGTGCCTCTGGGGACACCAGAGGAACATCTGGGATAAGGCTGCTGGTGTGGGGAAACTGGGGCAGAGCAGAGGGAAAGGGGAGTGGGAGAGGGAAAAGCCGTCTGTGTCCTGCCTCATTGCCCAGAGGGCTGTGGGCAAATGGTTCTGTGCTGTGGCAAGTGATCTGAGGCATGGAAAACCCACCTGGTGGGGCCAGCCTGGCCAAGGGGACAGGGGCTGGCTGCTGGTGGGGAGCAGAGCTGCTGTCCCATGGATGGACTCCTGCCTTGCAAGGGTCAGGCTGCTGGAGTAGCTTTGCACCTCCCTCTGAGATGCTCTCTACTTTTGTCCTCACTGATGCAGGTTAAAAACCTGATTGAGGAGATGGCTGGTCTGGATGAGATCATTGCCAAGCTGACAAAGGAGAAGAAAGCCCTGCAAGAAGCTCATCAGCAGGCCCTGGATGACCTGCAGGCTGAGGAGGACAAGGTCAACACACTGACCAAAGCCAAGGTCAAACTGGAGCAGCAAGTGGATGATGTGAGTCACAGGCCAGTGAGAATAAAGCAAGAGAGGTTTGAGTCACATCTCCAGGAGAGCCCAAAGGCTGTCCCTGAGTGGGATCTGGAGTGTGGGATCGTTACCAGATCCCCCTTTAATATGGCCAGTTGATGAATAACCCCATTGACAAACTACCCCTGAAACAGGAGGTGGTGTAGAACACCTCATGGAGAGCAGTCCTGGGCTGAGGGAGTGGGACTGGAGACAGCTGGGAAACACCTCTGGCCCCCAGGGGACTGACTGGTGGAGTTCCCACAGCAGTGGGCATGGGTCAGGGTGAGGCTACAGAAGGTCCTTTCCCTCCCTACCCCACCTCTCTTGGTTCTCCAGCTGGAAAGTTCTCTCGAGCAAGAAAAGAAGGTCCGCATGGACCTGGAGAGAGCCAAGAGGAAGCTTGAAGGAGACCTGAAGCTGTCACAAGAGTCTGTGATGGATCTGGAGAATGACAAGCAGCAGCTGGATGAGAAGCTCAAGAAGTGAGTGTGTGACACATGCCTGGGCTCTGGGCACCTCTAAATCTATCAGATTTAGTGTGGTGTCTGCAGGGGCAGCTGGGCTGAGCTGTGTGATCCTCCTCTGAGCACTGCTGTGTGACCAGCCCTGGTACAGTGAGGGCTTGGTTTTCCTGGGCATTTTGCAGAGATGCTGAGGAGCTTGTGGCAGGCTCATAGACCAGGGCTCACAGACCTTCCTTTGTCCATGGGGCTGGAGAGAGGGACCTGCCTGGCAGGATCCAGCACACTGCTGGGCCTCAGCTGCAAGTACAGACTTCAGTCATGTCCCATTCTCACTGGGGAACTGCAGAACACCTTGGGACCTCAGATGGAAACCCTCAGAGCCAGCTGTCTGCCAGTTTGGGTACTTGAGCCCTTCCTGTGAGCCTTCCATGAGCTGCTGCTTATCACTGCAATCCCTTTCCATTGTGGGTTTGTTCATCCTCTGGCCTGGGTGTAAGAGTGCAGGGAAATTTAGGAGCCAGAAGGACCTGTGAGGACAGTGTTTGTTTGATCAGAGCTCTGTCTTCTGTCTGTACAGGAAAGACTTTGAGATGAGTCAGCTGAACTCAAGGATTGAAGATGGGCAAGTGATGGAGGCCCAGCTGCAGAAGAAGATCAAGGAGGTCCAGGTATGGTGGGAAGAACTGTTCTTACATCCTGGAAGTCCAAAATTTCCATCAGATGTGATGTGCAGGCAAGTCTGCATGAGCCAGTCCCTCTCTGAGCACAGGAACATCTCCTTGGAAAAAGCTGGCATGGGTAGCAGGAGCCAAGCCCTCTGCCAGAACATGGTGGGTTGAAAATTAAAGAACGAGCTATTGAGGTGAAGACTATCACCAGCCTGAGGAACAGCTTCCAGATCTAGTTCTTTGTCCAAAATAAAACCTTTAATCCAGTAATCAAACTCTGAAAATTCAAATCTAGGTCCCTGGGCTTCTTCCTATCAGAGACAGGTCTCCACAATCATGAAAGTTCCCATGAAAAGAAGCTAATGCCAGCTGGATCCTGATGGCAGGGACAGAGGAGAGCAGGAGCTCCAAACATGCTACCAAGGAGCACCTGCCTCCCAAAACAGCCCAAGACTGGTGGCTTTTTGCCTCCCATCATCATCACAGATGCTGCTCCACTGTGGAGAGCAGGGATGCTGTA